ATAAATAAAATTAAAAAAAAATAGGGTTGGGGATGTAACTCAGTTCATTCCCCAGTACTGAAAAAAAAATCAATAATAATAATAGAGCCTGGTATTTTGGCACAGTCCTATAATAGTGCTTAGAAGTCTGAGGCAGAAGGATCACCAACCTGGGCTGCCTATAGAGTTCAATGTCATGTTGGATTACTCAATGACACCCTGTCTCAAAAACCGTGATAACTAAATAAAAACGCTATTTTGAACAGCAGCAAATTTTCTGCTGTGGAAGGTAAGGGATGAAACTAGCAAATGTTGATTGGAGTCTTACCAAGAAAATCAAGCTGAGGGCTTTGCTTGGGCTTGTGGTTGCCCACGGAGGAACCATGGGGTTGATTCCAACACAACAGACTGGACTAGGAGATCACTGGGCTCACTGAGTTGTTTGCTGGCGTACAGCGGGAAAATGGCAACGCTGTGGTTTGAACCCAAGCCGCCTGAGTCCGTGCTCTTGGGTGTCTCACATGTGTCCCCCTCACAACAGCCCCTCCGTTTCACACTCCGGTAAGGAGTGACGCATAAGGTCAGGCAGCCCAGTATGGTGGTTGTCGCAGAGTTCTGCCGCTCCTGTGCTGTGTGGCCCAAAACTAGTGGTTTGCCCTCTGTGCCTCTGCAGGCGCTTCCCAAGGGTGCACTGAGTCTGCAACACTGGCAACCCAGGGACAGACGCAGATGGGAGTGGCTACTATCGACAGAGCGATGGGTAATCAATAGTTGGGGACTAAGTTGAGGGGACGTCAGAACAGAGCTCCAGTCTGAGGGTTGTGAACCGTCCTGGGGACGGCAGTCCAGAGGAGGCCTGGCTTGGGGGACTGAGTTCAGTTGAGGACAACGGGAACTAAAGGTATCCACGAGACTCCCAGAGGAGAAGATTGAAGCTGGGGCGGGTAGACAAAGGATGCGAAATGTACGTCTCTCTTCAAGTGGGGAGAGTAGCGACCAGCTTGGGCTACCCGGGTGGAGAGGGCGGGGACTGCTGCGCCCAGCGGCCCCTTTAATCGGGGGCGCGCGCTGGCCAGCCCGCGCGCTCTCGTCTCCGTCGCCGGGCCGGAGCCGCGGCCCGAGCCGGAGCGGGAGCTGGCGGAATGGAGCCCCGGAACACGCCCGCGCTGCGCCGCCTGCTACCGCCGCTTCTGCTCCTGCTGCTGCCACTGCCCCCCCGCGCCCGAGCCAAGTACGTGCGGGGCAACCTCAGCTCCAAGGAGGTGAGCACGCAGGGTTCTCCTCAGCCACCCGCCCACCAGGGGGGCCACGGGGGACAGGTGCCGCCCCGCCCCTTGCCACCCTCCTGGCAGACCTGGGAGCCGCAGCCGGGCGGGCGGGGGGATGGAGGACCGCCCCGCGGGGATGAAGCCAGACCTAGGAGTTGTATTAGGGACGTGGAGGTCAGAGCTGGGTGGGGAGGGGGACAGGTCGGGAGAGCAAGCAGGGAAGCGGGGTCCAGGCCGAGGTGGTGCTGAAGGGACAGCACTCCTCGCTCTGCAGAAAGCCGGAGTTCAACACACTGGTGCTCAGGGCCAAGAAGGGTGGTTAGGAAGATGCCCCAGTTCGGGATGGTCTCTGGGACGCGGTAGGGCAGAGGTGTGTGTGTGCATAACTGGGGGAATGCAGGTGGGAAGGTGGCTGGGACCAAAAGTGGCTAGCATAGGCATCTTGCCCTCCAGGGTCTTTCTCTGGGTTCCTGGAAAAAGGGGACAGGAGTGTCTGAGGGGAAATTAACTTGGGGTGGGGGTGCCTTTTGGGAAAAAAAAAAATCAGGATGGCAAGAGTCCTAGACCAAAGGCAAAGGGATTTGGAAGGAAGTTTGGAGATGTTTTGGTCTCCTTGTGGCATTTGGGGAGTCAAGGACCTGAGGGTAGAGAAGAAAAGTTGAAGGTCTATGAAGTCCAAGAGAGTTCTCCAAGGACTTTGAAGAGGGTCTGACTAGGCTCCTTTGCCAGGACTGGATGTTTTTGACAAGATTTTGTTTCCTCTCGGATTACGGCCGACTAGACTTCCGCTTCCGCTACCCTGAGGTGAGTCTCCCCCAACCACTCTCCAAGCTCAGGCTGGATACTCCCTTGGCCTCTCAAGGCAAGAGCTACCCTAGCCCCCTACACTCCCTCAAATCCCAAAATCTCTGGGTCTACAGGCCAAGTGCTGTCAGAACATCCTTCTCTATTTTGATGACCCATCCCAGTGGCCAGCTGTGTACAAAGCAGGGGACAAGGTGAGCACTGTGAGGAGGAGTAGGGGGAGGGGAACAGAAGGTCCTTGAGGGCTAGGGAGTGATTCTGTCTCTGCCTTCCCTAGGATTGCCTGGCCAAGGAGTCAGTTATCAGACCAGAGAATAACCAGGTCATCAACCTCACCACCCAGTATGCCTGGTCAGGGTGTCAGGTGAGGGGGAATGGGCAGGTGCTGAAGGTCAAGGGCCTGTGAGTGTGGAGGACATGCTTCAGTCTGGTTCTGGCTCCTCTTCAGGTGGTGTCAGAGGAGGGAACCCGTTACCTGAGCTGCTCCAGCGGTAGAAGCTTCCGCTCTGTGCGTGAGAGGTGGTGGTACATTGCGCTTAGCAAGTGTGGGGTAAGTGGCAGGGGGCCCTCTTTGTTTTCCTGTGGACCCCCTTGCCTGCCCAGGGCTCTCCTTAGGTCCACACTCCCCTCAGGGAGATGGGCTGCAGTTGGAGTATGAGATGGTCCTCACCAACGGCAAGTCCTTCTGGACACGACACTTCTCTGCCGATGAGTTCGGTGAGTAGATAGGTGGTGAGCTAGAGCCAGGATCTCTGTGGGAGCTCAGGACTGGTGCATGCAGAGGGCACCCACTCAATGAACTATTTCCCCCTTCCACCAAATCTTAGGGATCCTGGAGACAGATGTGACCTTCCTCCTCATCTTCATCCTCATCTTCTTCCTCTCCTGTTACTTCGGATGTGAGTCCAACATACAGTGGGGGGTATGAGATATGCAGGAGGAAGCTTGGGAAATGTGCTGCCCTCCCGTCTGTCTGTGAACAGCCTTTTATTTTATTTATTTATTTTTTATGTATTTAGTACAGGGACTACAGGGCCTCACTACACAGATTGGACTTGTAGTGATACTCCTGTTTTCAGCCTCCCAAGCTCTGGGATTACAGGGGCACATCACCATGCGCTGTCTCATTCGCCATTTCAGCGTGCCCCGGGGATGGGGCTGGCACGGCACGCCAGGGATCAAGCCCCAGTCCCTGCGTCTGTCTGAGCAGGCACTTTAATCTGCTGAGCTATCTGACCAGCCCAGGCCTTTTAGAATTAGTATTTTTCTTTAGTTTTTTTTTTAAAATCATTTATTTATTTATTTATTTATTTATTTATTTATTTATTGTGTGTGTGTGTGTGTGTGTGTGTGTGGCCAGCTCAGCCCGCCAGGGGGCGGGGCGGGCTGGCATGTGGTGCTGGGGGATTGAACCGCGGTCCCTGTGCTTTCCCAAGCTTGTTCCAAGTAGGTGCTTTAGACCACTGAGCCATCTCACCAGCGCCTTTCTTTAGTTTTTTGAAGAGAAAAAATAAAACAAAATTTAAAAAAAGATAACAGGGGGGTAACATTGGATAATGCATTGCATATTGTCATCTTTAAATTAGTTATTCAGGGCTGGTGAGATGGCTCAGTGGTCTAAAGCACCTACTTAGAACAAGCTTAGCAAAGTACAGGGACACGGTTCAAACCCCCAGCACCAAGTGCCAGCCAGCCCCGCCCCCTGGTGGGCTGAGCTGGCCACACACACACACACACACACACACACACACACAAAATAAATAAATAAATAAATAAATTAGTTATTCAGTACATGATATAGGCATTTAATTGTCCAAATGATATTAGCACAAACCTTTCTTTTCACTGTGTGAACAGCCTTTTCATGATGCTTCCCTAGATTTGCTGAAAGGTCGTCAGTTGCTCCACACAACTTACAAAATGTTCATGGCTGCAGCTGGAGTGGAGGGTGAGGTTTAGCTTTACCCAGCTTTGGAGTTCTGTGGGAGGAGAGACTTGGAACCTGTACACCCGGGTCTGAGGAAGGAGGGGCTGGGGGTGGCCAACTCCAGAATCTAGCAGGTGGTGGTGGAGAGCCTGGAGTCCTGATGGGGGTGAAGTAGGCTTCATTTTGTCTGTGGCCTGCTGCTGGAGCACGGTAATCCCATGCTAATTTTGTCCTTTCTCTCTGCCCATTGCCCCTCTAGTCTTGAGCCTCCTGTTTTTCTGCATCTACTGGGGTCAGTATGCCACTGATGGCATTGGCAATGAAAGCGTGAAGATCTTGGGTGAGAATGGAGCCGGCTGTGGGGGGGCAGTGGGAGACCTGTACTCTCTCTGAGCCATCTCTGAACCCTTCTCTCCTCCCCAGCCAAGCTGCTCTTCTCCTCCAGCTTCCTCATCTTCCTGCTCATGCTCATCCTTCTGGGGAAGGGATTCACGGTGACACGGTGCCCGGGCAGGGAGCGCTCCTTGGGTGGCTGGGCTGGGGAGCTGGGCAGGGATGGGTGGGTGTGGGGGATGGCCACCCTCTCCTCCCTGACAGCCCCCACCCCTGCTGTCTCCTCCCATGGGCTGCTGCCAGGGGCCGCATCAGCCACTCGGGCTCTGTGAAGTTGTCTGTCTACATGACACTGTACACCCTCACCCACGTGGTGCTGCTCATCTATGAGGCCGAAGTGAGTCCCCAGCCCCTGGCAGGCCCCTCCTTTCCCAGGCTGTTGGTGACCTCCTTCTCCTTGACCTGCATGCAGCTGCCCTTCTCCACCTAGCGTCTTCCTGTCTATCTCTCAGAGATTCCTTCTTCCTTGACCTCCTCTCAGTAGCTTTCTTCCTCTTCCCCCTGCTTCTGCCTGTGACACCTAAGCTCCGTGCCTGAGTTCAGGTGTCATACAGAACTGAAATCCTCTCTGGCTCTCCCACTTCCTAGGTGGCTGACTTCAGGTGGTGACCCCCAAACCTGTTTGCTCCTTTGAAAATTAGGAGGAACTTACCCATCCTCTGAGGCTTTATATCATCTCATGGCTTTGGCCAAAGGCCTTCATGCTGAGCATCAGTTTCCCCTCCCGTAAAATGGGAACTAGTAAGACTTGCCTTGTTGAGCTGATGCTAATGGAAAAGCTCACACATGGTAGGCATTTATCCCCACGTTGGGCACAAGGTAGCTGATGTCTCTTCCTAGCTTTTTTGTCCTCTCTACCTCTATATGCTTCTATCTCTCTCTCTCTAACTCCCCTACTGCTTCTGCTCTGACCTAGTAACTCTGCTCCCTGGGAACCCAGTGGTGGGGGCCGGGGCAGGAGGCCAGTGCTATGATTAACCCTCTCCTGGGGGTTCAGTTCTTCGATCCAGGCCAGGTACTGTATACATATGAGTCTCCGGCCGGCTATGGGCTCATCGGGCTGCAGGTGGCAGCCTACGTGTGGTTCTGCTACGCCGTGCTCATCTCCCTGCGCCACTTCCCTGAGAAGCAGCCCTTTTATGTGCCCTTCTTTGCTGCCTACACCCTCTGGTGAGATGTGGTGGGGCCCCAGCCTGTCTATGCCAACTCAGCCCTCCTCAGTAGGAAGGATAAGCTTCGAGGTCAGGTAGTTATCACTCAGAATCTACCATTTCCCTGGGAAGCTTATAAAAATTATCCTCCCAAAGGAAAAAGAAAAGCGAGAATATAAAGTTACTTTCAGAGCTAGGGCATGGTGACATATGCATGCAATCCCAGTACTCTAGGAGACTGAGGCAGCCACATCAATGTTCAAGCCCAGCTTGGGCAATTTAATAACTAAATGAGACTCGTCTCAAAATAAAAATAGGGGCTGGTGAGATGGCTCAGTGGTCTAAAGCACCTACTTAGAACAAGCTCAGCAAAGCACAGGGACCGCGGTTCAATCC